ATTATATTTTATATTTTAAAAAATATATAATTATATTATATATTATATCTAAAAATAAATAATAAATTTTTATTAGTATATTTTTATTTAAAAATTAATTATTTTTTGTAATTTTATATTTTTTAATTCAATAATTTTTTTTATTTCAATATAATCATATTATTTTTATTTAATAAATTAATATTATACAATATATAAAATATTTTTTTTTTTTTTTAATTTATACTATTATATATTTAATAAATTTTTAAATTTATATTTATTTTTTTAATATAATTTTACATATTATAAAATAAATACCATATTAATTAATATTATTTTTAGATTAATAATGATATTTTTATTATATAATTTATACACTTAAATAATATAAATTAATATTTATTTATCATAATACTAAAATTATATTAAATTTATCTATACTTTTTTAGTAATTTCAATAAATTTTTCATATTATTAATCACATTTAATTCATATAAATATTTGATCTTTTTATAAAAGAAACTCAACTAATTAACTTTAAGATATCTTATTATTTAAAATATAATTTTTTTTTTTATTTTTATCTATAAATAAAAACTACCTAATAATCCCTTATATTCATTCATAATAATAAATTTATAATAATAAAATAATAATATAATATATTATTTTTCATATAAATATCTCTATAAAAAATTTACTAATAAATAAAATTTTTAAAGAAATACATAAAAAAGAAAAAAAAAAGAAAAAAAAGAAAAAAAAAAAAAAAACACACACTCACAAAAAAAAATAACAAAAAAATCAATTTTAATTATTATTATTATTAGTATTCTTTTGTTGTTCAATAATAGGTTTCATAGCTGGGAATAGCAAGACTTCTTAAATATTAATATTATCAGTTAAAAGCATTACTAATCTATCAATACCTAAACCCCAACCACCAGTAGGTGGTAAAGCATGCTCTAAGCAGTCACAAAAGTCCTTATCATATCCCATAGCTTCCACATCGCCTTATTTCTTATCTTCAATTTGTTAAACAAAGATTTTTCTTTACCTAAATGGGTCATTTAGTTCTGTAAAAGCATTACATAATTCATAATAATTCACGAAAAGTTCGAATCTTTCAGTCAAACCGGGCTTACTTCTATGCCATTTAGCAAGTGGAGACATTATTTAGGGATGTTCAGTAATAAAAGTAGGGTTTTTAAGATCAACTTCGATAAAATGACCAACTAACTTGTCAATAAGTCTTGATATAGTCCTTGGATTGGCACAATCTACCTTATGCTTTTTCGCAAGTTCATCAAAGAACTTCAGGGCTTCTTCACTTTCCAAATCAGTAGGCAGCTGAATACCTCCAAGTTTCTAACTTAAAGTTTCCATCATAGGAAGTCTCTTAAAAGGTGGTGTAAAATCAATTTCATAAGAAACATCAGGCTTATCTTTTCCTTAAGGATGGAAGACTATTTTATAAGAACCAGTAATTGATTTAACTAAATTAGATAATAGGTCTTCAGTTAAATTCATCAAATCTTCATAATCAGCATAAGCCTAATAAAACTCACAGGAAGTAAATTCTGGATTATGTGTTTAATCAATAGATTCATTTCTGAATTATTTACCCATTTCATATACTCTTTCTAAACCACCTACAACGAGTGTTTTTAGGTACAATTCAGGAGCAATTCTCATATATATATCTAAGTTTAGATCGTTGTGATGAGTGATAAAAGGACGAGCTAGTAAATTATAAATAAAATATAAGATATGAAAAAAACTAATAAATATAAATATAAAAATATATATAAAATTATATATAAAATAAAATATAAAATTATATATATATATATATATATATATATATATATATATATATATAAAATTGAATATATGTATGTTTTACCGGTAGCACCACCAGGAATCATATTCATCATAGGAGTTTCAACTTCAAGAAAACCTCTATCATCTAGGTATTTTTTTACGTACTAGATTATTTTAGTTCTCGTAATGAAAACATTTCTTATTTAAGGATTCATTATTAAATCTAAATATCTTTTTCTATATCTAGTTTCTTAGTCCTTTAAACCTGTGTGTAATGAAGGTAACATATGTAAACAAGGGGATAATAATTAGATTTTCCCAGGAGCAATAGAAAGTTCTCCGTTTTTACTTCTATGAGGTCTTCCAGTAACTCCAATTATATCACCTCTTCTAAAGACTGAATGTGCTTAATCGAAATCACCTATTTCATGTAATTATTTATTACATAAAACCTATAAACGGGTTCCTTCTTGACGAACATCATAGAAGACTAAAGCTTTTCCGGCCGCTCTAATGTTGGTAATACGAGCGCCTAATGAGACATTTTTTTCAATAAAAGTACCGTTTTCTTTTAATTAGGAATCAAATTCGGCTATAAATTCAGCTATAGTGTGGGTCACATGGAATTTGTGGGGATAAGGAACTATAGTCTTGGTTTACATGTATGTTTGGATTTATTTCGAACGATTTTCATAATAGGCAGCTGGGTCAAGTTCTTCTTCGGGTTTTTCGTCTTTCTTTTTTTCTTTTTAGGGATTTTCTTTTTCTTTTTATTATTTTAGTTATTATTTTTCGGCTTTTTCTTTAGCGGCTTTTTCGGCTTTAAGTCTCTTTTTTTGGGCGTTTTTAGACTCTTAATTTGGGTCTTCTTTGGATTCTTCTATTTCTTAACTAGGAGGGTCTTGGGGTTATTTCTAATCAGACATTTTATATATAGGAGTTTTAATAAAATAATTGTATTTTTATTTGTTTATTAATATATTATTTGGTATTTGGAAAATTAAGTTTTTTATTTAAATTAAAATATCTTTTGCTTTTATCATTTTTAATTTTTTAATATATAAGTTATTTTTAATTAAAGTGTCATTTTTTATAGTTATTATATTTATTTTATATTAAATAAATAATTTTGTTCTTTATTTTATTTAGACAATAATTATTTTTTTATATATATAATTGCTTTTTTTAATTAATTTATTTTTAATCTAATTAATATATATTTAAACATAAATAAACTAATTAAAATTATAGTTTTTATTGAATAGAATAAATTACCTTTTAATAAAATAAAATATTATAATTTTATTTTTGGAAAATCGGATAACAATATATTTTTCAAAGTATTTAATAAGTATTTTAATAAATCTATTGAAAAGTATTTAATAAGTCTATTGACAAGTATTTAATAAGTATTTAATAAATCTAAATATATTAAAATAGTAAATTTTTACTTATTTATTTCTTTCTTTTTGGTTAATTAAAAAAAAAAAAAAGGAAATATTTAAAGGAACATCTCATTTATATAACACTATTAGGGCATTTCTAAAAATGTTTTTTTAATTAAAATTTATAAATATTGCTTAAATAAATTTAATATCTTAAAATTAATTATTTTTTAGCAATTAAATTTGTTTTTCTTATTTAATTTTTAAATTCTTATTATAAAATTTTCTATAATATTTTTTTTTTTTGATTTCATTAAATTTTTAATAAAAAATGGATAATTAAAATATTCTAAAGATTAATTCCCTTTTTTTTTTTTTTTTTTTTTTTTTTTAACAAATGGATTACAATTTAATAAAATTTGTATTTAAGGTTACAATATTTAATAAAATTTGTATTTAACATCATTTACTTTTTTATATAAAAAAAACAAAAGGGACTGGGCCAAATTTATTCTCAATTGGAAATTATTGAAATTATATTTTAATTATTAAAAAAAATTTTAAAGGAATAAAATATAATATTAAAAAGTCCTAAAATATGAATGAATATATTATTTTTTTAAAAAAATGTTCCCAAAAATAATCATCTATAATCAGGACTTCTTTCTCTTTATCTATCATAACCTCTTTCTACACCTCTACCTTCATAATGATTACCACTTCTTCCATTTTTATGTAAATCTTCATTTCTATCATATCTATTATTATAATACCTATCCCCTTTATTACTAAAATTATCATATCTAGTACTACTTCTTTATCCATTAAACTCATTTCTTTTATTATCATATCTAGAATAATCATATCTATCATTCCTTGAATAATCGTTTCTATCAAAATCATAATTATATTTATTTTTTTCATTCTAATACCTATTTTGGTAAAAATCATTATTAGAATAATTTCTATTGTATCCTCTATTATTGTCATAATAATCATAGTTTTATCTCTTTTATTTAGATGCTGCTATATCTACTTTTATTTATCTACCATCAATTTCCTCCCCACCTTTTTTCAATGCTTTTTTTACGCCAGAAACATCTGCGAATTCTACATGTCCGAACCCTCTACTCTATATATATATATATAAAAATACGCATATATATATATAAAAATACTCATATATATAAAAATACACATATATATATATATTTTTAATAAAATTATGAATTACTTTCCCATCTTATTAGGCTACACGGGCATCTATAATTTCACCACACGACTAGAAAAACTTTCTGAGGTCTTCGGAGCCTGTTTTAAAGGAAAGGTTACCCACAAAAATAGTTTTTTGCGTTTCATCTAGAATACTACCCATTCTTTCATATCTAGGTTTGATTTTCTCAATAGCTAAGTATCTTCCCAAGAAGTTGATGTTGCTATTTTCGATTGCTTTTATACTGCTTTCTTCCGATTTGAAAGTTACGAAGGCTAATCCTTTAGATCTTCCGTCGTTTTCTCTTAAAAGATTCATCTTTTCAACACGACCAAAGTTCTTTTCGAGGAAACTAATAATCTCGTTCTCATTAGCTTAAAAATTTAAGCCTTTAACAATGACTTCGTTCTTACTTTCTTCTATTCTAGAAGGATTAGAATGAGAAGAAGAACGAGAAGATTTATGCTTTCGAGAACGCTTTTCTTTATGACGAGATTTTTTTTAAGCTTCTTCACTACGGTGTCGGTTTTATGAAGACTTTTTTTTTTATTAATTTTTAATGTTTTTGTTGATAGTTTTACTTTTTTTTAACGATGCCTTTCTTCTTCGTATTTTTGAGGCTTATCAAGATATTAAACATTTGGATTTCTTTTTTTTTTTTTTTTTTTTTTAATTTTTTTTTTTTAAATATATAATCAATTATTTTTGTTTAACTTAGTTTTTTGACATTTATTGTTGTTTTTTTTGTTTTTTTATTTAAAATAATATTTTTTTGTAAATGAATAAAATAATATATAATTAGTTTTTTTTTTTTTTTTTTTTTATTAAAAATAAAATATTATTTTTCTCTCTCCTCCTAAATATATATTAGACACAAATTATTTAAAAAAAAAATATAAATATTTAAATATCTAATTCCTTATATTGTATACCAAAATAAATATATACTAAAAAAAAAAATATAAACAAATTAATAAATAAATAAAAATAAATATATAATATTAAAATATTTATATATACATATATATTAAAATATAATAATAAAATATTTATAAATACAAATTATATTTAAATATAACTAAAAATTCATTCATATTTAAATTTTATCAAGTAAAATAAATAGTTCGTCTGCCGCAATTTATAACATTTCATAAAAATTACTTTTTTTTTATTAAAATATATTCGCTATTTCATAATTATGCTCACAAATCAAACTATCATAGTTACAAAATCCCATATTTTCCTTACCCTCCTTTATCCATTACTAAACACATTCTTTTATTACCATTTTCTTCAAGAAAAAATGCAATTTAACTACTTCTTGGAATTCAACTGGTATATTTTTCAAAACATCACACATACAATGCACTACATTCCAATACTTAACAATATTCGAATATCCCATATTACATTTTTATCCATTTACTGTCCCTTTATACTAATCATAATAAGGTTCATTAAAATATACATCTTCATTCATAATTAAGCTCTATATACTTACTAAAACTTAACAAATACTCGAAAATTAAGAATTCCAATTTTCACAAGAATCCCCTTCCCAAGTTCCTAGAAGAGAAAGGCAAACTAAACCATTCTAATATAGATTTGGGTTGAATCTTATTTTTTGGTTTTTAGTGGATAAAAAAGATACTTTAGGCGGACTACTTGGATATTATTCTGGAATAAAAATATCAAAGAAAAAAGCTCCGTGTGCATATGGAGTTTATTCAGAACCGAAAATTAAGGCTTTCATAACGTCCATTCTTTAAATGTCATATATTAGAAAAATACTGTTTGTAGAATTTAAGGGGAGAAATTTTTATAATTAACAAATTTCGTTTTTTAGGCGAGTTATTTTAGCCTATAATGTCGAACATAATATTACATATGATGTTTTTTGAATTTCATTTTAAAAAAAATGCCCTTTTTCTAATATAGGCATTTATTTTACCCTATATTTTGTTAATAATTGGGTATAATTATCTAGTTTTATATCTTTTTCTATATATTCTTCAGTTATTTCTATTTTATTTTCCTCGAAAACTAACTTCATGCTCATTTTAGGTGTATATTTTCTATTAAAAGGAATGTTTTCCCATCTCTATATATATTTATTACCATTATTTAATACAACAATTTTAAATTCGAATTCTTCATGCTATTTAAATTCGACTTATCTTTCCCATTTTGGGTATATTTACTCATTTGTATATAAAAATAGTCCCTTTTCAATATCCCAATTACCCAAAACGTCTTTATCTCCTAAAATACAGACTTATTAGCCATATATAGTTTAAACTTATGCCTAGAAAAGGATTTGAATCATATTTTTTTTATTTTTTATTTAATTTTTTTTTAATTATACTAATTATATATATATATAATATTTTTTTTTTTTTTCTTTTTTTTGGTTCGTTCAATCATCAACAGATATTCTTATTTCAAATTAATTCTTTTTATCTTCTTTTTTACAAAAATGGAAAACATTCAAAAGTACTTCCAATTTGGTATTTTCTCCCAAATTTAAACTAATCCCAATACCAGAACTTCCCCTAAACTTACTAATAAATCCCTTCTAATTAATACAACAACCAATATTTCCCCTTTATCGCCAAAAAATACCCCCATGTATAAAATAAAACGGAATAATACCCGTATTATAGAACCCTGGGAAGTCATAAAGGTTAAGTTTTAGTGAAGATTTAGTATAAAAATGAAAGTTAGATAAGAAATATCCGTCCTAATTATCTTCAGGATCTATATCAACTACTCCCCTAATCGAATTAATTAAAAAGCAGTCATTAATTTATAATTTGGGGCAAAATAAAGACTTAACTAGACCTTAATTAAGTGAAAATTCCATATTAATAAATCTAAAAGAACTGTTGATTTTTTAAGTTTTTAAACTTGAAAATTATTTAAAATTTATTTCTTCTTTTAAAAAAGGAGAACTTGAAAAAACGAAACTTCGCCCATAAAATTAAAAGAGTTCCCTTTATGAGTTTTTCTATATGAAATATTATTATTTATATGTTAAAATTTAAACGAGTTTTTAAAAGAAGGAACAAAATCTTCCATTAAAACCATTTTTTTGTCGTTTATTTCATTCTTCCTAAATGAATATTCATAAAAAAAACTAGATTTATCATCTCTAGTGTATTTTAAAATAAAAGAATTAGAGTTTTCAATACATTTTTTAGTTAAAAGTGCTTATTATTACTAAAATTATAAAAAATAGCAATTTTAAGTTTAATAATTTCTTAAAAAATTCACAGGAATATACCATTGAAAATTCCATTAACTTTATTTTGATTTATTTAACGCCTTATTATACTCAAATTATACTTTATCGAATAAACCTAATACATTTCTAAATCCTATATTACCTGTTAAAGATGCCTAACCGAATCTATCCAATTAATGAGAAAGAGAAGCATAATAAGGAGATGAGTTTTTATAATTGAAATTTATATTTATGCTATTTTCTTCTTCCTATGGTTTTAGATCAACTGTTATTTCTTTAAATATATCGTATTTTTAGAATATTTGGATAGTTTTTTAAATGTCATGTATTAACTCCGGAAGAGTGAAGTCTTTTTTTGGAATTTTGGAAGATATTTAACTGAATATTTGGGATGGAGTTCGATAAGGTATGTTTGTGTGGGTTATTGTGGCTGATTTTATACGGTCGTTTATATTTTAGCTATTTTTGTTTATTTCTGATAATAATTCTAATAATCTTTCTTCGTTCATTTTTTTATTATTTATTTTTTTTAGATATTTTATTTATTATTTTTTACAAAGTTTTATTTATTTTTTTAGAAAAAAAAATAAAAAAATATTAACTATTTTTTTTTTTGAAAAAAAAACAAAATTAATATATAAAAGCTTATATATATATATATATATATATATATATATATATATATATTTATATATTATATATTTATATATATAATTTTTTAAAAAAAAATATTCTATATGAAATCTTTTTTATATAAGTATATACAATACCAATTAAAATATTATTTTATATATAATGATTATGTTATAAAATATATTTTTTTTTAATTTTATCCATATATTTTTAATTTTATATTTGTCGAAAATATATTTAAGAAAAAGTTTTTTATTTTTTTTAAAAATAAATGATAAAACTATTATATAGATTAATCTTCTTATTAAAGTCTAAAATAAATAAAATTAATTAAAAATTCTTTATATAAAAAGAATTATAAAATATATATTATAATAATAGTATAACATATAAAAAAATTATGGAATAAATTTAATATTTATTTTTGTAATTTTGGTTTTGTTTTTTAATTAAATAAGCCAAAAAAATATAATGTAGTATAAAAATATTAATATATATATATATATAAATATATATATATATATATATATATATAAATATAATCTTTATTTATTTATATATTTTATATAAACTTTTATTTCCTTACATTTTTTTGTGTTAATAAATTATTTAATTTAAATATTTAACCTAAAATAAAAAACATAATGTTTAAAAGTAATGTTTTTAAAAAACAAACAAAATAAAGTGTAATATTGTAAAATAATATTAACTAATAATAATTTATTTATGTATATTTAAAAAATAAATAAATAAATATAGATTAATAAGAACTCAATGTATTTTTTAAATAAAATAATTTTATTAAATTATTATTTACAATCTAAATGTAAATAAAATAGATATATTTACGTTTGAAAAACATTATATTATTATTTGTTATTTTAAAAAAAATAAATATAAAAAAATAATAATATTATAAATTTTATTTATAACAAAAAAAAAATTGAATAAATAATCAAAAGAACTTGAAAAAGGCCTTTTGAAACTTTTAGACTACAGAATTTATTCTTAAAACATATTTTTACATTAAAAAGAAAAATATGAAAACAAACCTAAAAAAACCTTACCTAATACTCCCTAACTTATTATAAAATTTTAATAATAAACCAATTATGAATATGATAAACTATTAAATTTCTATACAGTTCGCCAATAATAATTTAAAAATCAGTTAAAGTTTCTTAAAAGCCCAAAATAAAAATCTCCTTTCTATAAGCGTCTATCTACTATAAAAATATAAAAAGAAGTATAAACATACTTAAAAAAATTCCCATAAATTCCCAAAAAAATATAAACATAACACTAAGAATAATTAATATGGAAAAAAAAGGAATATAATGATGAAAAGAAGTAGAATGACGAAAAAAAAAAACGAAGAATATCCAATATAATTTCTATATATAATATACAAGACTTTTAATCAAAAAAATAAATAAAAAGTTAAAATCATATTGAAAAATATAAAATCGAAAAACATAAAAATCTTCCAAAAATAAAACTTTAGACGATTCCTTAGGAAATGCATTCACCTTCTTCTCCTTAAAAATAAAATGGATGTTTTGAAGAAAGCTTACACAAAATTAGTTCTTATTTGTAAGTTTAAATCAAGGAAAATGATGTTTTAGTATAATATTCGAGAAATTCTACTTATAATGAGGATTAACTGACATTTTATTTAATGAAATTATATCAAAAAAGTGCAGGTGTGGCTGACAAAAGTAAGATTACACTAGAATTAGGTCAAATTAAATTAAATTAGAATGTTTTAGAAACTGTGTTGGAAATTTTTATTAGAAAAATGAAAGAATTAAGTTTTTAATAAAAACTAATTAAAAAATTCGAAGAAAAATACATATCAAACATGCAATAAATAATGTCAAAATAAACCATACATAAATTAGGTAATGAAAAATAAGAATTCTAGTAAAAAAATACTCGAAAATCTGTGCTATGAAAAACTCATAGTCAAAAAATTCGATGAAGAAATAATAGAACAAGTCTACATTTAAGCCATTAATTTAATATAGGATTAAACTAAAATAATATAATTATTTTTCATGAAAAATTATAAGGTATATAAATATAGATAAATATATATATATAAATATATATATATTTTTATTTATATTTTATATATATATATATATATAAATATTTTCATATTAATTGATTTTATTTTAAAAAATAAAATACAAATATATTTAAAGGTATAATTGTATCTCCTGTAGATTTTTATCTTATAAAAAGTTCATGTTTAAAAATTTTAAGATAAAATAAAATATAAAAGCCAATAATATATGAAATAATAAACAAAATAGAAAACTAAAGGAATTTCTTTTTTATATATGACTATAATAATTTAAAAAGTTAATTCATATAATTATGTTTAAAAAACAAAAAAATAATAGGCCATTTTCTTGATCCTACATATACATAAATAGGAAATTTTTTTAATGAATTATTTTCTTTTTTATATGGAACTAATAAAATACTTGATGTAATCATTTTCCTGCATAATAAGTTTAAAATTTAAAATATTCCCAATTCTTTTTTCGAAGAACTTCAAGAAATAATCATTGAAATTATTGGCAAATAAAAATACAAGCCTAATTTATATTAAAAAGATCTCGTTTTGAAATTCTAGAGATTAATGTAAAAAAATGGCACTTTAGACCTAAGTTATCTTAATTTTAACGAATGTTCAACTAACCTTACTAAGTCTGTTATAGATTGGTGTGAGAACTAGTTTATTGAGTCTAATTTACCTAAAAATTTAAAAGAAATAGATATTATTAATCCAAAATTAATTGATGAGTATTTATTTTTAACATTATGTGAATAAGAAATGTTATTTAATATTTATGATTTTGAAGCTGCTTTTGTATATTTTAATATTTTTGATGTTAAGGAAGTTTTTTCGTTTTGGCTTAAAGGATTAGAAGAAATTTTTAGATAAAATAATGTCTTTTATAGTTAGGAAATTCTTAATTATTTTAAATTATGTTCAAATTTATGAATAATTAATTGTACTATTATTTTATGTAAATAGAAAAAATAGCTTTAATATAAATATTTATACTATTTTATATGATATATTAATTAAAATATATATATATATATATTTTATATAAAAAATTATAAATTAATAAAAGTTTTTATTATAATAAATAAAGAATCACTATTAGAATTTATTTTTTTATAATTTTTATTTATTTATTATTACAATCAAAATAAAAAAAAATATTTAAAATAAAATTAATATATAATTATATATTATTTTTATTAAATTATATATGAATCCTTTAACTTTCAAAAATTAATAAATAATTCCTCCTTTAAAAGAAAAAAATAAGATCTTAAATATTTAAAAAATCCATTTCACAAAATAAATTAAAAATTAAATACATTAAAAATATTTTATTATAATAACATAATAATATTTATATTAATAAATAAAAAAATAAAAAAATAAAAAAGTAAAACTTAAAAGAAAAAAATTAAAAAAAAGCAAAAAAAAAGCCAAACCAAACATAAAAAAATGGGCATCTTTTCACGAAGATTAATCAACTATAATCAAGACCGCTAATTTAAAGCATTTGTCTAAGAAAATAAAGAAGAAAAATCATATCCTTCAAATTTTATAAAAACATCCCGGTATAATTTAATAGACTTTCTTCCATTGTCTCTCTTAATACAATTCCAGCGATATGCGAATATCTACTTTTTGATAACCGCAATATTACAAAGCATTCCTGAAATATCTCCCCTATCTCCTTTCGTAGCAATAGCCCCATTAGTTTTCGTATTAGCCATATCTATGATTCGAGAAGGCTATGAAGATTACTAAAGGCATGTATCAGATAATGAGTAAAATTACTAACAAAAGACCACCTAAATAATAGTATAAAACCGCTCTGAAATCTAACTCCCTTATGCCAGAATCAATGTAGGAGACATTCTCAAAATCACTAAAGATACTTCTTTTCCTGCTGATATGCTAGTATTAGGATCTGAGTTAGGTGGTCCTTGTTATATAGAAACAGGTGCTTTGGATGGAGAAAAAAATTTAAAACCGAGATGTGCTTTGGCAAATACAGCTCGCTTTTTTGATACCAAATCAGGTTTTTTCGACACTAATAATTCCTTCCATTTAGAAGTATAGGCAAAGGCTCCTGATTAGAATCCCAATAGATTTGAAGGTGCGATTAAATTTTATCTTAAAAATGAATCCGAAACAGAGGATAAATTTGTACCTTCTAATGCTAAATAATTACTACCAAGAGGGGCTTTTTTGAGAAATACTGAGTATATTTACGGCGTAGTCGTTTATACAGGCATGGATACTAAAATTATGAGAAATTCAGAATCCGCGAAGGCTAAATGTTCCGATATGGAGAAAAAGATGAACACTTTTATACTTGGAATTCTTATTTTTTAACTCACTTGTGCCTTCGTGATGTCATCTTGTCATTTTGTGTGGCTGAGAACTAACAAAAATATATATCCTTACTTGAATTTAACTGAAAATAATGTAACACCTGCACTTTCTGCCCTTTTTGTTTTTTTTTCTTATTTTATTCTTTTCAATACTATGATTCCGATTTCTCTTGTAGTTTCTTTAGAAATGGTTAAGGTAGCTTAATCATATTTTATTACTAAAGATGAACGTAAAAATAATATTCAAGCATTTTATTTAAATTATAATATAAAAAAGTTATGTATTCACCTCATAATGATAAAATGCCAAAAGTACTCACATCTTCAATAAATGAAGAATTAGGTTAAGTCGAGTACATTTTTTCTGATAAAACAGGCACTTTAACACAAAACGAAATGTAGTTTAAATATTGTGTAATCGGAAATACCTTATATGGAGATAAAGTACCTATGAAAAAAGCATAAAATAAAACGGTGCCCATAAAGAATCAACCTTTATCCATCCATGAACAAAAAGCCTTGATATCAGAATTTACTTTTGAAGATTATATTTTATCAAATATTTTAACCCAAGAAGCAGATATAAAAGATAATTTTAATTTAAATTATGTAATTAAATCAAAAGATGGAAAATCTTCGTATACTTTAAAAAATCAATACGAATTATCTTGTGAATATTTCAAAGCTTTAGGAATTGCACATGAATGTATAGTTTAAAAAAATAAAGATCCATTAGACACTAAAATGTACTATTAGGGCCCTTCTCCGGACGAAATAACACTTGTAGATTGCGCCTATAATATGGGATTTACATTTACGGGAAATACTACAGACGGCGTATTAATGAAAATAAACGAAAAAGGAGGCATTCAAAAATAATATGAGTTTAAAAGATATAATATATTCGAGTTTTCATCAGATAGGAAAAGAATGACAATTATTATTGAAGATAATGGTATCATTAAAATGTATATTAAAGGCGCAGATAGTATAGTAATTAAAAGATTGGTTGGTTTTGAAGAAAATAAACCAATATTAGATAATAAACAATAGCCTTTCCTTGAAAATGCGATTAAGAAATTGACAGAATTTTCATCAGTAGGTCTTAGAACACTACTTATTGGAATAAAAATAATGTCTAGACAGGAACTTGATGCTTTTTTGAAAGAATATTAATTACTTTCAGATTCTAAAGATAGAGATACTGAAATGGCTAAATTAGCTGATAAATATGAGCAAGATTTCTATTTATTAGGTGCTACAGCTGTAGAAGATAAACTTCAAGATTAAGTACCTGAAGTAATTAATGATATGTTAAGAGCAAGTATTAATAAATACACTTAATCATACATATAATACAAAAAATATTTTTAAATATAGATATAAAAGTATGGATGTTAACAGGAGATAAACTTGAGACCGCAGAAAATATAGCAAGAAGTTGCAAATTAATATTGAATGATTTCGAATGTTTAACAATAAGCGCCACTGACGAGAAAATAATCCGAAAAGAACTCATGGAAATTTAATGGAGAAGGTTTAAATACTGTAAAGAAAATAAAATCAGGAAATGCTTTCTAATAGAAGGAGATGCTCTTACTAAAGTTTTCGATGAAAGAAATCCAGACTTAAAAAAAAGGTTTGTTTAAATTACCAAAGAATGTGAAAGTGTAGTTTGCTGTAGAGTTTCTCCAACCCAAAAAGCTTAAGTAGTCAGAAGTATAAAATAATAATTAGGAAAAGTTACTTTAGCAATAGGTGATGGGGCAAACGATGTAAATATGATTTAAGAAGCACATATAGGTTTATAATTTATTTATAATAATCTATATTTATATATTTTATAGGTTGTGGATTATATGGAAACGAAGGTATGAGAGCTGTTTAAAGTAGTGATTTTGCACTTGGGTAATTTAAATGTTTATGGCGACTATTATTAGTACATGGAAGATGGTCATATATAAGAATATCAGAAATGATTATTTATTTCTTTTATAAAAATATGTAAAAAAATAAAACTTTTAATATTAAATTTTTTTAAAAAAATAAATTATTTAATAAAAATAGGATTTTTACTATTCCTTAATTTTTTTTTGCTTTTTATTGCGGATTTAGTGGTTAGACAATCTTCGATGATATATACATATCTTTGTACAATTTAGTTTTTACAGCACTCCCATTAATAATAAGAGCTATTTTTGATTAAGATATAAACTATAATTATTACGATTTACCAAAAGAAGTGAAACAATCCTTGATTAAAGATGATAGAAAAAAAAAATTTAAAAAGTTTTGGAAAGTAGAAAAAAATATATGATAGATAAATTGCCTTCCTTATACTATTTGGGATAGAAGCAAACACTTTTTTCAACACCTATTTTTTTAATATCAATTATATAAGGTATAGTGCATGGTTTGATTATATATTATATAGCTTATTGGTCTATTGGAGATAAAATTTTCTTATTATAAGGCTATAATTCTGATTAATGGACTCTTTCATTAATTATTTATTCTACAGTAGTTTTGGTAATTTAATTTAATTTAATTTAATTTAAAAAATAATAATAATAAAGGTTGCTGATCTTAAAATAGCAGCAAACACAAGATATTGGACACCTATTAGTTATTTTGCATTATTCGGATCTAGTATTATTATTTATTTCCTATTTATGTTAGGTTCAGAAATAGCTGAATAAAGTTAAGTATATAGTACGCCAATAATTATGCTTTCCGGTCCACATTTTTATTTAGTTCTTTTTATTATTGTAGCCGGAATTTGGACTTTTGATGTATTTGTGACTGTCTTAAAAGAAATTTATAATGAGGAAAGTAAGGAAAAAACCTTAAGAAAATTAATGAAATAATTACCTTTTAAACAATAAGACGAAAAATGGGCACTTAAAGGGTCTCAACTTGCCGATAATAGCAATTTAAATTCTTTTTGGGAAAAACAAAGTAAAACAACTAATAAATAGAATGAAAGTTCACACAAAATTAATAATACAAATAATGAATAAGCTTAGTTTATTGAACTAGTAAACTAAGAATAAAGAGCCAATATACCAGATAAAGCTTAAAAAATTAATTCTAAAAAGGAATTAGATAAAATGTGATTATATATTATTATATGTATTTTTATAAAAAATATAAATAAATTATTATATTATTTATTTTTATAATTTAAAAAAAATTATTGTTTTAATATAAAGCTTAATTTTAAAAATAAAATAAAAATATATATCTTAATAGATATTATATTGTGTTTTGTAAATATTTATTAAAATTCATTTATATAAAAATCAAAGCTTAGAACTTTAATATTTAGCAATATTTTCAGGGGTTGGAGGAGGGAATAAATCAGGAGTAAACTTAGTAGCTTTACCCATGTTTCCTTTAATTTTCATTTTTCCCTAAAAAAATGAAAATAAAATAAAATAATAAATAAAATAAAATAAAATAAATAAATAAATAAATAAATAAATAAATAAATAAATAAATAAATAATATAAATATGACTGTCATAAACGCATTATTTGGATTTAATTTTCCCATACAAACTTAATAGAAATCTTCATCAATCATAGTAAAAGTAGCGTCTGCATTTTTATTTTCTTAGAAATCAACACAACCTTATCCATTTTTCAAATCTATTGTATAACTTTTTTTGATTGTACCCCCTTTTTTTTCTTAAATATTGAATCCGAAAGTAGCTGCTACTTTTTTTACAAGATCTTTTCCTTCTCCTCTTTCAAGGTAAACTTTCATCATACTGAAAATTTGCTCACTTTTAAGTTCATTTATTTTACTTTATTTACCTTATTATTATTCTTATTTTTCTTTTTTTAATTAAATTCTTTCTAAATTTTCATTTACCTTAGCAAAAGTATCTGAAACACTTGTTGGATATTCAGGATTTTTTTAAAAATCAGTTATTTTACTCCACTTAAAATAGATTCAAATAAAAATATAAAATTATTTTTTACATTATCTCTAACTTCTTCGGCTGTATAAGGTAAATCAAATAAATGACCAGCACTTCTTTGCCATCTCAGTTAACCAATAAATCCAGCTGCAATTTCGAAAAGAGATCCATTCTCTTCACAAGATTCATGAGCCAAATATCCTACCAAAGGAACTATATATTTAGGGTTTAAATTAGCCAAAGTTTCTTATGGTAAAACAGTTTCAGTCATTCTACTAGCTGCAATAGGCGCGATTGTATTAGCTCTAATATTTTTCTTTTCTCCTTCTCTAGCAAGAGTTTAAGTAAGACCATGAATACCCAATTTAGCAGCTGAGTAATTAGCTTAACCAAAAGATCCATAAATACCAGATCCTGAGGAAGTATTAATAATTCTTCCGAACCCTTATTCTCTCATAATATTCCAAGCAGCTTTTGTGACTGAATAAGTACCAGTCAAATGTACTTTCATGATTAAATTCCAATCATTATCAGTCATTTTTTGAAAGGAAACATCTCTTAAAATGCCTGCATTATTAATAAGAATATCCACACGTCCAAAAGCATCCATAGCAGTTTTAACAATCTTATCTCCAAATTCCACAGAATCGAAATTGGCTACAGCTTGTCCTCCTAAAGCCTTTATTTCATCGACTACTTTTTATGCTGCGTTTTGGGAAACACCATCACCTGAATGGCTTACTCCGAGGTCATTTACGATTACTTTGGCACCTTTTTAAGCGAACCATAAAGCGTATTCTCTTCCTAATCCGTTTCCGGCACCTGTTACTATGACTACACGATTATCAAATTTAATGGGTGAATTAGACATTTTATTTGAATTTTTTTTTTAGATATTTTTTAATAATTTTTTTTCTTTTTATTTAGTTATAGAATTTCTTTTATTTTATTAGAACTATTCTGTATTTTGATTTGACGTAATTATATTTAAAGTTATTAACAAGAGTCAAAATATTATATTTATAATTAAAAAAAAAAAAATTATATATATTTTAAATTAAAATTATAGATATATATTTTAATAGAATTATTAATATATATAAATTTAAAAAATAATTACTTAATATTTACATATAGATTTTACATAATTAGCATGGTTAATTCCTTTTTCAAATAATAAACTTCCATAATAAGACTTATTTTTAAAAACTGAAAAAAATCAGACTCATTACAAAAACCAGAAGTTTAATAACATAATTTGAATTATTTATATAAAACAATTAATGGCGAATGGTAATCTTAAGATAAAATTAAATGGCAAATAAATTGTAATATATTATTGAATTGGCTTATTAATAAAATTAGATTAAAATGATTGGGTAAAATTGGTAAAGAATATGTTATAATATTAATAATTAAAAGCAGCTATTATACTAGATAATAGTTTTTTTGATTTGTTTTATATTTAAATTTAAATTTAAATCCATAATTTATATAATTAAAAACTGTTAAATAATACAATAAATTTAACTTTAATAAAGACTAGTTTTTATTAAGAAAATTTTTCTTTTCTTAAGAAAAAATTCCAATCACAATATAAATCATATATATGTATAAAAATTTTCTATATTTCTACACTTATTATTAATTTTGAATTTTTATCAATTGTAAAATTTGTAGAAATTAATTCTTAAAATTTAATATAGTAATGTTTATTTGAAAAACACTATCTTCTTATATTAAATTAACTTGTTTATTTATTTATTTTTTTATGTGATTTTTTTTGAAAAATTAAATATAATAAAGGCCATTACACATTTTTTGTTTCCTTTATTTATAGTAGCATATGATAATTATTTTATTAGGAAAAATTATTATTTTAAGAAAAATTATTTTATTTAGAAAAATATTTCTATTTAAATAAAAGATTTAAATTTTAATTATATAAATAAAAAAAAAAATCCTATCAAATTACAGTTTTTTTTTATTTCATTTTTCCAAAAAAATATAAAAATCCTTCATTTCGATAATTTATTTTTACTAGTTTATCATTCAATTTTTTTTTTTTTTAAATATTAGTATTACTTTATTCTATTCCCTCCAAAATAATACAAGACTTTTATTATTATTATTACAAATTTAATTTTTTATATATATAAATTTCCAAAAACTGAATACATTATTTGATTATTTTTGCATATCTTTCTTTATTCATTATTTTACTAATCTGAATTTTTCATTTTTAATCTATTTATAAACTTTCAGGCAGGAATATCACAAAATTTTACCATTTTATCTTCCATCACTTTTTTTAAACAAATAGCTATTTTTCTTGTTAACAAAAACAGAAAATTAAATTTATATAAAAAGAAACAGATGAGTATTTAAAAAACTTCTTTTATAAAAAATACAAATGTATTGAATAAATAGAAGGGTCTCCTCCTTTATTTAAATTCTATAATATTTAATGTAAGAATATTTATTATAATTTTTTTTTTAAACTATTTATTATTCTCATAAATATTAAAAATGTCTATATATTATTTAAAAAAATAATAATAATTATAAATTTCTGAATTTTTAGTTAATTAATTACTAAAAACAAAAAATTATATATAAATATTTAGAATAAAATAATTATTTTCAAGAAATAATTTTAACATTTGATTTTTAACTTGAAATTTTGTATAATTCTTAACTTTTACATAAATCTTCTATTTTTTAAAAAACTCCTTAAACTGATGGTTATACTTATGGGTATTATTCTTTTATAAAATTAAGAAAAGTAACGACATCTTAGAATCCTTAAAAATTACCAACATAAATATTTTTTTGAGCATTAACAATTAAATTTTCAATAAGATTATATTCAAACTAAAATCCTGTATTAGAAATAAGCTTAAAAACAGTAATATAAATTTATTAATCTACAATATTTCTTATATATAATTCCTTATTTATACAATTAAGTATTCTTTAAGCAAAAGCTTTTCTTTTTTCCAAAAAAAATCTACGTTTCCAGATAACAGATATTAAGCTTCTCTTGCAGAAAATATATAGACACATTCATGCAAACTCCATTTTTCACATATTTTATCAATTCTTTAATCAATTAAGAATTATAGCTTTTCATATCCTATTATTATATTTTTTAATATAAATAAAAATACTGAGTTAAAAATACTTTCTTCATTTCTCATTTTAATATTTTTGAAAAAATTTAATAAATCAATATATTCCAATTCTGATTAGTACCTTTTTATATACTAGAAAACACAATCATTGTCTTCTTTTAAAAATTCAAAACTTCTGTATATTTCTTTCGGACTTAAATCAAGGTATTTATCCTTTATAAATTTATCAAAACATGAATATATTTATTCATCTAATTTTCTATTATTATCCTTAAAAACTTAAAGGACAATAAAATAATCTTTTATTTCAAAACTAGATATATTTTTAAGGACATAGGCTACATATTCATTATAAATTTAATCAAAAATGCTTTTGTAATAAAAATTAAAACTTTCGATTTATTTAATATCTTCATCATTTTAATCAGATTGTTCAGAATATTAATTTATTTCTTATATATTTTTTTATTTTTTTTTACTTTCATAAGATTCATTTTTTTTACATTCTAATGAATTTTATTCATTATTTTAAATAGTATTTTATGTATTTTGAAAATTATAATTATTTCCGGTAAGAATTTACTTAAAATTAAGCAAAGCATGATTTCTTTTAGAGATTCTAAAGAAAGATTAAGAAAGGAAATTAGTTAAAAAAATAAATGAAAAAAGGGATAACTCGTTTTTATCAAAAAAATTCCATTTATTTTTGACTCTAATGAAAACCAGGTTTACTATTTCCTCAAAATTATCAATATTAAATTTTCCTATAATTTAAAGTAAAGATATTAAGCATTCCATCATTTAAAAAGGCTTGAAATCATTTATTTTATTAATGTAATAAAATTATAAATATTAAAATATTTTCTTCCCAAACTTTTACTATTTTTCCATTATTTTCAAACAACTTACAACTTCTTCTACTTTAAAATTATAGATACTTTTAATTAAATATTATTCACTTACTTAAAATAACCTATCTGAACCATTTTTAGATATAATTGTCCCATTTAATATCTATAGAACTTAGTTTATGCTGAATTTTCGAATATTCTTTATAAAATCTTTCTCTATTTCATAAAATGTTTTTTAATCTAACATATTAAATTGACAGTATTTTATATATATTTAGTATTTCTCATTTAATGGATATTAATTAATGTTTGTAAATATTTATTTAGATATTTCTCGAAGTTGTTCACAGTTTTTTTCGTATAAATTAAATGGTTCTTGAGCAGAAACATGATTAGAACAAAAATTTATTTTTGGGTAATAAAATAATTTTCGAATATTATTAATTGATTTCATGCTTTATTTTCAATACTTTTTTAATTAAAATAAAATATAAATATATGTGTTTATTTTTTATTTTTAATTAAATGAAAAAATCTTTTTTAATTCAAATAAATGTATATAATTATTTTTGTTTCATTAAATTCATAATATTAAAATTATATTATCTATTAATTTGTTATAAAATATTAGCATTTGTAGAAAATATATCTTTAAAAATAATCTAAATATTCAATTAAAGTATTTAATTTAAAAAAATACGAATATTTTGTTAAATTATCAAAGTAAATTAATATATAAAAAATAAAATTCTTAGAAAAACAATATATACTTTATAAAAATTAAATATTTATTATTTATATTTATTAAGTCTATATAATAAAATTTTATATAATAATTAAATTTTATCAAAATAAATAAATTATAAATTTTTATTTTTTATTTTGTTAAAATAAAATAAATTTTTCAAATAATAAGATAATTGTATGAAGGATCTAATTTGATACTATTTCTTAACATATTATTTTGGTTTTAAAGCTAGCTTAATTATTATTACAATAAATTAAAATCACTTTAAAGTTTCTCAACTTCTCTTCCTCGTTGCTACCATTATTCAACTACTGCTAATTTTTATTAAAATAAATGTTTCAAATTTTAAATTTCTCTATCAGTTTCTTATAAAATTACAATAGATTAATCTAAATCATCACTTCCTCTTTAAATCTGTTACTTGACTTCTGTTATTCTTGATATTTAACTTCCTTTTATATATTTTAATTAATATTTATTAAAATATTTGATAAATAATACTCACAACTTCTTCTAGATTTTAATGTTATTAAGTTACTTGTGCTATTTAAAAATCTTTTGCATTTATTTATGTTTGCTTTTATACTAATTAGTTGGATAATACTTAGTCAAACAGTTAAAGTCTTTCTAATTTTCTATTAAGGCTTTAAAATAAAATATCATCAGTATTATCTTCAATATGTACAAATTCAATTTATTTTTACTAATTTATTCTTTAAGTAGTATCACTATTTAATATTACTATTGGTTTTGGTAAAGGAGACTTATTTAAAGTTTAATTTTTAATTAATTAATTAAATATAATATTTTTATTACCATTTAAGGTTATAATCGGGTTTATTGCTTTATTATTTTAGGTGAATTATGAAGTAATAACTATGGATTTTAATTGTATATAGTCATTGGTTATAATGATGCTGGCTACATTACTACATGTGGATTTTAAACTGTTGTTTATGTATATGGGCCTTAAAGAACTGTCTGTTGAGGTTAAATTGTTTATTTACGGATTGTTCTAATTGGAGAAGTCTAAGAATAATTTTTAGGAATCATTTTTTATTTTTTAAGTTTTATTTATTAATTTTATTTTATTTTTTAAATTATTTTAGCAATTTTATTTAATGAAACATATAATATATAATATTTATATAAAATTTAAAAGCTTATTTAAGTTTTTAATTATAGTTAGTTTTACAAAAATAAATTTCTTTTTTTAATTTCAGTTTAAACTATATAAAAGAAAGTATTCAATAAAAAAATTAAAATTATAAAAATATTAATTAAAAAAAATAGTCAATTACAATAAAAAATAAAATGGATTAAAAAATAGCAAGTTTACATTATATTCAAGATGATTAAGTATAAGAGTAAGAATAATAATTTTTAAAAAGAAAAGATTTTTAAAACACTTTTAATCTTAATTTAAAACAAAAGATTAAATTGAATAAATAATAAATTAATGGTTGGATAAAAATTAAATATTTATAACAGATCCATTATAAAAATAATAAGATTTTTATTAAAAAAAGAAAATATAATCTATTACAAATACACAGTTTCCTTAATTATAAAACTAAATTATAGACCAAGAAATAATATCTTAAAATATTTTTTCACAAAATTCAACATAAGTTTCTAATTCAACTTTCATAAATTTAAATAGTCCTTTTGTATAATAAAATAGCTTATTGTAAAGACGTAAATTTACATTTAATAATGATAGTTTAAATAAGTAAAACTAATTTATATAATTTTTGATATAAATAAACATTATTTATTTTATTTCTTTTAAAAATTTAAAAAATAATACCTAAAACAATAATAAATCAACAAAGCATATGACTTTTAAATTTTTTGTAAAAGAAAATAGATAGATAGATATATTTATATTAATAAAGATAGCTAAAGATATATATAAATATAGAAATGTATAATTGTATATATATATACTTATATATAATTATATATAATTATATATAAATATATATTATTTTTTTATTTTTTAAATTGTTTATCTATTTTTATATTTTTTTTAGTTTTTTATTTAAATTAAAATTATAATAATATTTTTTTTATAATAAATACTAAAATTTTTTCTTAAATTTTGATTTGTATTGAAAATATAATTAAAAATTTAAATATATTGTATTTATTATAAGATTTTATTTTCTATTATAAAATCTTTTATAATTAAGTTTTTAATTATTTCTTAAATAATATCATTTAATATTAAATTATATTTTTCATGATTTACAAAATGACAAATTAGAATTAGAAGATTACTAATTTTCAATATGTTTTTATTCTGCTTAAGTTAAATAATTTCTTTTTTATTAACAATTATTAAATAAAACATTAAATAAAAAAAATTATTTTATTTATATTTTACTTAAAAGCAACAGAAAATTCCTTTAACTCTTTTTTATTGTGAGTTGAAAATTCTAGGACAATTTTACTATTATCAAGATGTTACTATAATTAAATAAAAAAATATAAATATATAATTATTATATTATATTATATTTTACTTTATATGCAATTTTAAAGGATGGTTATTATCCTTTTTTACTAGGAACAAACTCAACAATGTTATGAGCAAAAATAAATATAATTTCTTAAATTGTTTCAATATGTACAATAAATTTATTAAATTTATTTTTTCTTAAAATTAATTAACAATTCATTTAAATTTACTATCTGTTTTAAATAATATCAAAAATTTAAATTTATTCTTTGTAATAATCAAGCTATAAAAAAAATTTAAATAAAAAAAAAATATAAAATAAAAATTTTATAAATATAAATAAAAAAAAATACTTCTTTTTAATTATTTTACAATATGAAATTTAAAGATTCTATTTATTAATTTAAAGAAAATATTTTTTTAATTTCATCATCTCTAAATAATTATAATTATATTAAAATAAATATAAATAAATGTAAAAATATAATATGATTTGATAAAATAAAATATATAAATATAAATAAAAACTATAAAAAAGAAAAATTTATATAAATATATTTATATATATTTATATATTTATATATTTTTTTTATATATATATCAATACTTTTTTTATTCAATTTTTTATTATTAATCTAAATTAACTTAAATAGCATTTTTTTCATATTTCAAACTTTAAAGTTAACTTTATAAATATTCAATTTTGTTTTAATAGTTTATATTTTATTCTTATAATTCTCTATTTTAAGTTTATAAACTATTGTATTTTTCCTATATATATTTTATTTATTGATCATTACTTTTTTCAAATTAATTATGTTTTATATCATTTTATCTATCAAAATAAAATTATATTTTATTATATATAAAATTTAAATAATCAAAATTACAATTGTTAAATTTGACTTAATCTTTATTCAGATATTTTCTTTTCTTCTTCAAGTTTCAAATTATATGAACATATATTTTTCTCAAAATCTTTATTTTATTTTTAATTAGATATTTTTAATTCTTCAACCTCTTTAATAAGATTTTGATTTTATTCTAAATATTTATCAATAATATTTTTTTATGAAATGTTATTTTATTTTAAATTTTCAACTTCATTTTTTAAATTTTCATTTTCATTTTTTAAGTTTTTTTGTTATTTGAATAGATCTTTATTAACCTCTTCAAAATATGATTCTTTTTGTTTAAATAAAAGAGATGAATTTCTTTATAATCTTGATTAAGAATTTTAACTTTCTTCAACTTCTTTTTTTAAAGAAATTATTTATTAATAACATTATATTAATTCTATATTATTCTTTGAATTTTCTAGTTCTTTTATTCTATTTTCAATATCGAAGCATTCTTAAAATTGATTATTTTTATTTATGTTTTCTTCTATTTTTTCTTCTTCTTCTTAAAATTATTTTTCAAGTTTACTTAAATCTTCAATTTTTTATTCAAAGTTTGAAATTGCATTTTTCAAATGTAAAATTTATTCGTTTTAAATACTTATTTTATCTTCTAAGCAAGTTATTTGTTAATTTTTTTCTTGAATTTCTTATATTAATTTTTCTTCATTATTTTAATAAAAATATAACTATTTTTTATTTTTTTCTTTTTCCTATATTTTTTCTTCATATTAATAAATTTTTTCATTTTATTCTTTAATAAAATTTTCTCTTTAATTTAATATTTCCTGACTTTTTAAAAATTCTTATTAGATTAGTTTTACTTAGTTTTCTAAATGTTAAACTTTTTAAATTAGTTCTTTAATTTCGAATTCTCTTTCAAATATTTTTTTTCTTAATCTTGATTATATTTAGCTAATATTTAAAATTATACTTCCTAATCTTTAAATTTGTTGTAATTTATTTAATTTTCTTCATTTTTTTCATCTAAAAGTATATTTAATTCTTTAATTTTATTAAAATATTCTTCAATTTATTATTCTTATTATTCTATTATAATTTAACTTTATTTTTTTAAAGGTTAACTTTTTAATATTTATATTTCTTAATTTAATTTAATTATTCTTTTTAATAAATGGCTTTCTATTTCTTTAATATTTTTTTTAGGACTTCCTTATTTTTATTTTTCAGGTTAATATTTTACAAATCCAGATGCTAACATTCCAGATACTCCTATACATTCTACTTTTTTATTTATTTATGAAGTAGATGTGACATTTTAGCTTACTTTTTCCTCGAATTTTACCCTTATTGGCGTTGTACATTATGATTTAAGGTTATAGGAAGTCATTCTGGGTGTTAAGCTCCGAGACTAGATTTCATTTTTGGAAGTTGTGGTTGATGTTTATATTTGAATTTTTTATTTTTTGTCATTCATTGTATTTAGTTTTATTTTAATTTATTTTACTTTCAAGTTTTTTTTTTTTGAAATTTTATTTATTATTTTAAAATAGAAAAATAGATAAATAAATAAATTATTATTTTTTTTAGAAGAAAAAATTAATTAAAAATATTAAAAAAAAGATAAAAATGAGTGAATAATTTTTAAAAGCATCTAAATTAAAAATAGAAATTGAAAGATAAATCAATTTTTTAGAAATTTCAAAAAAATATTAATTAGATGAAAAAATTTCTTAATCATTTACTGTTTAATATTAGGAAGTAAAATAATAACTAGACTAAGAAACTTAAAGAATAAATTCATAGATAGATGATTTATAGAATTATATTTAAATAATATAAATAAATATTTAAAACGATTATAATATGACAAATGAATAAAAACAAATATAAAAAAGGTATCATAAAAATAGAAAGATAATAAAAAAAAAAATTAGAAAAATTTAAAATATAGAAAGTCAGGTAAAAGAGTTAATAGTATATCTTAAAAGAACATCAGTAAAAAAGCTAGAATCTATAAGAGAATAAAAAGACAAATTTTTATTATACGGAATTTAAAATAAAGCAGCATAAGATTAAAATTTAATTAATATAAATATTTAAGCAAGAGAAGAAATCTAATAATCATAAAGATCAACGAATGATATGTTAAATTAAGGTGTTGAAATATTACATTCTTTAAGCAATTAAGAAAATGTTTTAAAAGTAATTTTTTTTTTTATTAATTAAATTTTATTAATTTTTTTAAATTTAAAGAATGTTTAGAGAAAAGTTATTTCAATTGCAAATGAATTAGGAGTATCTAATTAAATAATAAGAATGATTGGATCAAGGTAATAATCAGATAATATTATTATTTGTTTATTAACTATAGTTTTAGTCATTTTTATGTTTTTGTGTTATTATTATATTAAGCCTATTATTTTCGGTTGAAAAAAATACATAAAAAATTAAAAAAATAAAACAGTTATTTCAAAAATATTTGTAAATAAAAAAGAGAAAAAAATAAATAAAATTTCAAAATATAAAAATTATATTTAATGTAAAATAAAGTTTATTCAAATTCTTTTAACAATCCAGCATTATTAGATTTAAAAAGATAAACAGATAGTTAAGCTAACTATATTTTATCATAATCTAATAGAAATTCTTAATCAAATATTAAAGCAACAGACAGAAATGATAATTCCCATATTCAAAATGAAAATAAATAAATTAATCACAAAGCACTAAATAAATAATTAAAATAATAAATTAAGGAAAAAGATTAACTAATTTTATAATTAAAGTAAGATAGAGATAATATAAGATTACTTAATTAAGAGTATGTTAAATAAATGAATGTAAAAATTTAAATTATTTATAAATTATTAATTTTATTTGAAAAAAGGAAATCATTCATAAAAAAGTTGTAAATATCTAAAAAATATGCATAGATAAATAGTTATTTGAAAGTGATGTATTTTAAGGAAATTAGTTAAAGGTTATTCAAAGATTAGAATCAAATTTTAAATAAGTAGAAAAATAATTAAATTAATTTATTAAACACTGCAAAATAATGGAAGCAGATATTGAAATTTACAAAAATAAAATAAAAGACTCTGAATATGTTATTGAAGAATTAAAAAAACTGGAGAATTTTCTATTGATGATTTAGTCAGTAAGCTAATTTCTAATGGTAAATATAATTTTTATATCTTTTATTTTTATAAAAATATTTATATTTTTTTATATAGAATAAAAAGCGATAGAATATGAATCTTAAAATAGTAAACTTTAATTTAATAATTGCATTTAATAAGATAAAATTACTAATTTAGAAGCTAGTTTGCATGATTAATAAGTTTTTTTTAAAAAAATTAAAAATTATATTTTATCAACTAAAATAAAAAGATTTAATTTTAAAATTGTAAATAATAATATGATGAACTTGTATTAAAACATAATAGAACTATAAGTGAAAATGAAAATTTGAGAAATTAAGATTATAAAATAGTAACAATAAATTTATTTTAATTTTATTTTATTTATTTAGATTTATAATTTAAAATGTTAAATTGATTATTTAGAATATTAATTTAGAATGGTTTAAAGTAGTATAGTAAATGCAAATCAAGAAAAAATGGAATAAGATATGTATTATATAGATTATTTTTTTTATATTGAAATTATAAAAATAGAAAAGTCATTGAATTAACGCAATAAAATCAAAATTTTATAAATAGTTTTAATGCATCAAATAAAAAATAAGAGCTTAGCAATTTAAATGTAACATTTAAATAATTTTGAATATTATATTTTTATTGTGATATTTTTAATATAAAATTAAAGAAGTCTAAGTCAATATATTTTTTAATAAAATATATTAAGTAGCTTTAAATAAAAATAATCAATTAAATTAATTAATAAAATAAAATTATTATTCCAAAAAATTAAATATATAACCTATTAATAAAATATAAAAATAATTATAATTATAAAAATGAAAAAACAAAATAATTTTTTTAAAATACTTAGTTTTTTCATAATAAATTTAAATAAGTATTTTTTTATAAATAATTAAATCAATTATTTTGTCTTTTTTATTTTTTTTAAAAAAATCGCTCGATGAAGGGATTGAACCTTCGACCTTGCGGTTAACAGCCGCATGCTCTAACCAGCTGAGCTAATCGAGCTAATTAGTAATATCTATTTTATTAACAAAATAAAAAAAACTTTTATCAACAAATAATTATATTAAATAAAAAAATATTTATAATTTTATATTTTTTATTTTTTTATTCAATTATCTTTAAAAAATATTTAGCTGAAAACGAAAATAAAGAAATCAATTATAAATTGAATCATCTGAAATTTGTAAGACAAAAATATTTATTTAAAAAAAAAACTCAATATTTCCATTAAATTAGTATTTTAATAATAATTTTTTTTAAATAAAAACACAAGAAAATTAATTCATAAAATTTTATAAATCATATAGGAAATCACTATTTATTAGAGTATGACGTCCCAAAAATTATAAATTAATCATAAAAACTTTAATAAATATATTTTAAGCAACAATTTGATTAGTATAGATATATTTTTTAGCAAGGGTATGCAATATTTAATATTATAAGATAATCTTATATTATAAAAAATTCATAAGATATTGAATAAAAATATTAAAATTTTATAATTGTGAATATGATATTTAAATATAATTATATATATTATAATTATTAATTATTCATTTTCTTTTTCAATAGAATTATCTAATTAAATTTTCAATCCATATTTTAGTTTACATTTAGTATAATTTATTCATTTTCTATATATTAATATGCTCTTATCCAGTAAATTTTTATAATTAAATTTTAATATAAAGTTTATTTTTATATTTAACTACCATAAAAATATTTACTATTATATTTTTATATAAAATTTTTGTATATTTACTTTTAAAATATTTCAATAATTTATTAAGTTAAGTTTGTTAATAAAATAAATAGATATAACTATTTAGAAAAAAAATATAATAGAAATTAATAAATAAATATTAAATTTATATATTTTTATTATTTATATCTAATTTTAATATTTTTTATTTTATTTAATTCTATCAATTTTAATAAATGTTTATTTAAAAACAATTTTATTAAAATTAATTTTAAATGTTTTTTATCAAGTATAAATAAATAAAATGATAAATAATCATATAATGTTATTTAAATAGTAGTTAAAGAAATTATATAAAAAAAAATTTAAAAAATATTTATAAAATAATTAAAAATTATTTAATATAATATAAATATATGATAAAATATATTAAATATGAATTATAATTTAAAAATAAATTAAAATAATATTTTAAATAATATAATTATATATATATATCTAATAAATATTAATTATATATAATAAAATTTTTCTTATTAGTATAATTTATATTTTAAAATTTTATATAAATTATAAATTATAAATTATGAATTTATTTTTTATTAATATTATAATTAAAAGATAAAAATAAAATATAATAATTTTATTAATTATATTTTTTAAAATAATGTAAATTTATAAAACATAAAATTATTTCAAGTTCAATTTTTTTTATTTAGGTTATTAATAAATATTAAAATAAAAATAAATAAAAAGTAAAAAAATATAATAAACCAATTATAATATATTTTAATTTATAAAATATAAATTTATATTAAAAAAATAAGTAAAAATATATAAAAATTTTATATAAATTTAATTTTTACACTTTCATAAATAATTAAATTTACATTTCTATTAAAAAAATATATTTAGAAGGAAATGTATTGACATTAAATTTAATATATATATATGTAAATATATATATATTTATATATATATATATATATATATATATATTCTTTATTTTATATATGTCTATATATAAATATAATTAATTTATTTTTTATATAAATTTATATTATTATATATATTATAAATTTTT